GGAATTTTGCTTTTCCAAAATTTTGTTTTCTCCCAGATTTCCCGGCAAAGTCAATCCAAGCTGGTGTCAGGAGCAGGGGAAGGAGCCAACCCCGAGCTGCCTGCATCTCACAGAGCCCCAATTGTTGGAGCCTCCCTGCCCAAACAGCCTCTCCCTCCTCTCCTGATACCCGTTGTTTTCCCAGATAAACCACCAGGCACGGCCTGGATCCCTGGGATAACCTCTCTGTGCTCTCCCTGCTGCCTCAGGGTTTGGCTTTTCTGTTTTTCCCATTCTGAGCTGCTTTAGTGTGTGGGTCTGGGTTCACATTCAGGGATGGTGAGCTCTGTGCACAGAGCAGGGAGACAAAACAATTCCTGCTCCAGCTGGGCACCAAGGACAAATGAGCCAAATCTCAGCCCAGGAGCACAAACCCCGTGGGCTGCAGAGAGAAAAACAAGCAGGGTGGGAGTGCCTGGGCTGAAGCTGGGATGGGACAATGAACTGCAAGGTGCAAATGGAGCAGAACTGATCCCAGGGAGAGACCCTGGGAGCGCTCGTGCATTTTGGGGCCGTTTTGGGTCATCTTGGGTGCAGCCCTGGCTGGGCTCTGGTGCTGCCCAAGGTGCAGCCATGGATCCTTTCCATAAATCCCTGCTTCATTCTGGGACTCTGCCCAGCCTCTGTCCTAGGGCAGATTCTCAAGGGATCAGCCCTGGGATTTATGGACATTCAGCACCAGGAATTTCGGGGGGCTGGCAGCAGCACAGGGCGTTTTTCAAAGGAAAACACCATCCCTGCCAGTCTCCTGATTTTGGGAATATCCTTTGAAAGGTGAGGAAGATCCCACAATGAGCCAGGTGGGCTCAGGGTCAGGATTTTGCGCTGGTGAAGGGCATGCAAAACAACCTGGGATCTTTTTGTGGGGTCTGTGGGATCTGAGATGATGAATTCTGGAGGATTTCTCTATTTCCAGGGCAGCACAAGCTCCTCTCCTCAGCAGAGGAGAACTCAGGCTCTGGATTTTGCCTTGGCCCAAACACCCTGGTGGGGGTTTTTTTGTGGCATCTGTGATGATAAATTCTGGAGGATTTCTTCATTCCAGGGCAGCACAAGCTCCTCTCCTCAGCAGACGAGGATCAGGGTCGGGATTTCGGATTTGTGAGGGGTTTGCAAAACAACCTGCTGGGTTTTTGTGGTATCTGTGGCACCAGGAAATGATAAATTGTAAAGGATTTCTCCATCTCCAGGGCAGCACAAGTTCCTCTTAGTAGAAGAGGATCAGGGTCAGGATTTTGTCTTGGTCAAAACAACCTGGTGGGTTTTTTCTGGGACCTGTGGCACTAGGAAATTATAAATTCTGGAGGATTTCTGTATTTCCAAGGCAGCACAAGCTCCTCTCCTCAGCAGAGGAGGATCAGGGTCAGGATTTTGCCTTGGCCCAAACAACCTGATGGGGTTTTTGTGGGATATGTGGCACTGGGAATTGATAAATTCTGGAGGGTTTCTGTATTTCCAAGGCAGCACAAACTCCTCTCCTCAATAGACAAAGATTAGGATCAGGATTTTGCACGGTTTGCAAAACAACCTGGTGGGGTTTTTGGTGCAATCTGTGGCACCAAGAAATGACAAATTTTGGAGGGTTTCTCTATTTCCAAAGCAGCACAAGCTCTTCTCCTCAGCAGAGGAGAACTCAGGGTCGGGATTTTGCCTTGGCCAAAAAAAACCGGTGGGTTTTTTGTGGGATCTGTGGCACCAGGAAATGACAAATTCTGGAGGGTTTCTCTATTTCCAAGGCAGCACAAGCTCCTCTCCTCAAGAGAAGAGAACTGAGGATTTTGCCTTGGCCAAAACAACCTGGTGGGTTTTTTGTGGAATCTGTGGCACCAGGAAATGACAAATTCTGGAGGGTTTCTCTATTTCCAAGGCAGCACAAGCTCCTCTCCTCAATAGAGGAAGATCAGGGCCGGGATTTTACACAATGTCAGGGGTTTGCAGGACACCCTGGTGGGTTTTTGGTGCGATCTGAGATGACAAATCCCGCAGGATTTCCGCCCCTCAGGTCAGCACCGCCTCCCCTGCTCAGCAGAACCGCGGCGCTGCAGCGGCCCCGACCTTTCCTGCTCTCCATGGAAGGGGAGGGGTTTTCCTCCAGCCTCAAATCCCTCCCAGACCAAAGAGTTCCCGTTCCAGAGGGCGGTGCTGAGCCGGGACCAGCCCCCAGCCGGGGTTCTGGGATCGCGGAGAGAGGCAGGGATGAGCTGCAGGCTCAGATCCCGTTCAGCAGGAATTTATCTCGGGAATTGTGCTCGCCACACTGCTGGCACACAGGGATGCGCTGCTTCTCCTTTAGCTGCGATCCTCTCTGGAATTCCTGCCCCTCTCCCATCCCTCTTTCCTCCCCGAAATCCTCCCTCAGCTTCTCCATCAGCTGCTTCCAGCTCTCCCCTCCGTCCTGGGTTTTGGGGAGGTCTCTGTGGATTCCTTCCCTCCCTCCTCTCCCTCAGCTCATCCCAAACACTGAGCTCACCTGGGATTTGAGTTTCCTCTCCTCCATCTCATCCCAAACACCGAGCTCACCTGGGGTTTGAGAGTTTCCTCCATCTCATCCCAATCACTGAGCTCACCTGGGATTTGAGAATTTCCTCCATCTCATCCCAAACACTGAGCTCACCTGGGGTTTGAGAGTTTCCTCCATCTCATCCCAAACACCGAGCTCACCTGGGATTTGAGAGTTTCCTCCATCTCATCCCAAACACTGAGCTCACCTGGGATTTGAGTTTCCTCTCCTCCATCTCATCCCAAGCACTGAGCTCACCTGGGGTTTGAGAGTTTCCTCCATCTCATCCCAATCACTGAGCTGACCTGGGGTTTGAGAGTTTCCTCCATCTCATCCCAATCACTGAGCTCACCTGGGGTTTGAGAGTTTCCTCCATCTCATCCCAATCACTGAGCTCACCTGGGATTTGAGAATTTCCTCCATCTCATCCCAATCACTGAGCTCACCTGGGGTTTGAGAGTTTCCTCCATCTCATCCCAAGCACTGAGCTCACCTGGGGTTTGAGAGTTTCCTCCATCTCATCCCAATCACTGAGCTCACCTGGGGTTTGAGAGTTTCCTCCATCTCATCCCAAACACCGAGCTCACCTGGGATTTGAGAGTTTCCTCTTCAGCTCATCCCAAACACCGAGCTCACCTGGGATTTGAGAATTTCCTCTTCAGCTCATCCCAAACACTGAGCTCGCCTGGGATTTGAGAGTTTCCTCTCCTCCATCTCATCCCAAACACCGAGCTCACCTGGGGTTTGAGAGTTTCCTCTCCTCCATCTCATCCCAAACACTGAGCTCACCTGGGGTTTGAGTTTCCTCTCCTCCATCTCATCCCAAACACTGAGCTCACCTGGGATTTGAGTTTCCTCTCCTCCATCTCATCCCAAACACCGAGCTCACCTGGGGTTTGAGAGTTTCCTCCATCTCATCCCAATCACTGAGCTCACCTGGGATTTGAGAGTTTCCTCTCCTCCATCTCATCCCAAACACCGAGCTCACCTGGGATTTGAGTTTCCTCCATCTCATCCCAAACACCGAGCTCGCCTGGGATTTGAGAGTTTCCTCTCCTCCATCTCATCCCAAGCACTGAGCTCACCTGGGGTTTGGGAATTGGGCACTTGAGGATTGGAATTGGCACTTGAGAATTGAGAATTAATTAAGCTCTCGCCCACCAACAGCTCCAAATTCTTCTCTCAGAGCTGATCTCAATAAATACCAATAATAAAAGGATGGGTTTGTACTCCAGGAGAGGCACATTCCCAGAGAACCGGATTTAGAAAAGGTGGTAAAACTGAAATCATTAATTGTAAACAAAGAATGTGGTGGTTTATTAGTGATTTGTGCCTGCAGGCTGAGCTCAGTGCCTGGCAGCACAGCAAGATCCAGGATTTTGGATGGCACATTCCCCATGCCAGGATGTTGTGGCTCCTCATTCCCATGGGTTTTCCTGGCATTGATTGGGATTGATGGTCCAGGCTCGGAAATTCCACAGTTTTGACCCAATTTTCCCATTGAGATGGCCTCAGTGGGACATCCATCCTTGCTGCTGGCATTTGGGGACACGAATCTGTGGTGACCTTGCAATGGTTAGATTTCATTGTCTGGGAGGGCTTTTCCAACCCCTTTGGCTCTGAGATTCCATAATTTTGGCCATTGGGATGGCCTTGGTGGGACATCCATCCTTGCTGGTGGCACTTGGGGGCACGGATCAGTGGTCACCTTGCAGTGGTTGGATTTTCTTGTCTGAGAGGGTTTTTCCAAAAAGCCTTTGGCTCCAGGCCTGGGCAGCTGCCTGGCCAGGCCATGGCACCATGGGATCACCAAGGCCTGTGACAGATTGAGTCCAGAGAAGGGACAAAGGGGCTGGGGAAGGGTCTGGAGCCCCAGCAGGGCTGGGGGAGCTGGGCAGGGGCTGAGCCTGGAGCAGAGGAGGCTCAGGGGCCCTTGTGGCTCTGCACAAGTCCCTGCCAGGAGGGCACAGCCGAGGGGTCGGGGAACAGGGACAGGAGGAGAGGGAACGGCCTCAGGCTGGGACAGGGCAGGGGCTGGGTGGGCACAGCAGGAATTTCCCCATGGAAAGGGTGGGCAGGCCTTGGCAGGGGCTGCCGAGGGAGGTTCGGATTTCCCATCCCTGGAGGTGTCCAAGGAATCCCTGGATGTGGCACTCAGAGCTCCGGGCTGGTAACATAAGGTGGTGATCAGGCACACCTTGGTCTTGAAGGTCTTGTGCAACCTCAGTGCTCCTGCGTTTCCGTGCCCGGCGGCTGAAACACGGAAAATTCACCAAAACGTGAAAAAAGAACCAAACGCCTTCACGATGCGAGTGGCCCCGCGAGGACTACAACTCCCAGCAACCCCCGCGCGGCCCCGCAGGGGGTGCCGGGAGCTGTAGTCGCGACGGGGCGGAGCCGGGGCGGGAGGACTCCATGTCCCAGCGCGCAGTGCGGCAGCGAGGGCGGTGGGGCGGGGCGAGGCGGGGCCGGCGGCCCTGAGGGAGCCGGAGCGGACCGGGAGCGGAGCCGGAGCAGTCGGCGGCGATGTCGGTGCAGGTGGCGGTGGCCGCGCCCGCCGTGGAGCTGAAGGAGCTCGGCGGCCCCATGGACAAGGCGGCGGGGCCGCCGTGCGAGCCTGTGGGCGCTCACGCAGCGGGGCACGGCGTGGCGGCGGCGGCGCCCGCCTGCCCCGTGCCGGGCGCCGAGCGTGAGGCGGCCCCGGCCCCCTCCGCCGAGCGGCCTCCGGGGGGCGGCTGCCCCGGGCTGTCCTCGGCCTCCGGGCTGTCCTCGGCCGCCGGCAAGGTGCCGCAGGCTTCGGCCATGAAGAGGAGCGACCCGCACCACCCCCAGCAGCCCCGGCACCGCGACGGCAGCGACAGCAGCGGCAGCGCGGCCGAGGCGCTCGTGAGCCCCGACGGCACCGTCACCGAGGCGCCGCGCACCGTCAAGAAGGTAACGGGGGCGGCGGCGGCAGGGAGCGCTCCCGGCGGGGCCGTGCCAGGGACGGCCCCGCTCCGGGCACCGGGGCTCGGGACGCGGCGCTGCCTCGGCCGGGCAGGGCCGGCCCGCTGCGGGGTCCCCGGTCCGCGGCGGTGTCGGTGACCCCGAGCGGCTGCCGGGGCCGCGGGGGCGCTCCAGGACTGGGGCTGCATTCTGGGGACGTGTTCTGCCGTGCCTGGGGTCTGACTGTGCATTGTACCCTGCCCCCGTGTCTGTGCAGCGGGGACGTGTGGGGGGACACTGAGTGCATTTACACCCCACACCTGCACCCCCAGGTGACACTGGGTGCCTTTACACCCCACTCCTGCACCCCCAGGTGACACCGGCTGCATTTACACCCTACACCTGCACCCCCAGGTGACACCGGGTGCCTTTGCACCCCACTCCTGCACCCCCAGGTGACACCGGGTGCCTTTACACCCTACACCTGCACCCCCAGGTGACACCGGGTGCCTTTACACCCTACACCTGCACCCCCAGGTGACATCGGGTGCATTTACGCCCCTGTGTTCCCACACCCCCAAGTGTCCCCAGGTGCCTTTACACCCCGTTCCCTGCACCCCAGGTGTCCCTGGTTGCCTTTACACCCCATTTCTGCACCTCTAGATGGGCCTGGGTACCTTTACACCCCAATTCTGCACCCCCAGGTGTCATTTCGTGCCTTTACCCCCCATTTCTGCACCCCCAGGTGTCCCTGGCTGCCTTTCCCCCCTATTTCTCTACCTGCAGGTATCACTGGGTGCCTTTACACCCAAATTCTGCACCCCCAGGTGTCCCTGGGTGCCTTTGCACCCCAATTCTGCACCCCCAGGTCTCCTTGGGTGCCTTTACACCCCAGTTCTGCACCCCCAGGTGACACCGGGTGCATTTACACCCCTGTGTTCCCACACCCCCAAGTGTCCCTGGGTGCCTCTACACCCTATTCCCTGCACCCCTGGTTGCCTTTACACCCCTCACCTGCACCCCCAGGTGCTCCTGGTTGCCTTTACACTCCAATTCTGCACCCCCAGGTGTCCCTGGGTGCCTTTACACCCCAATTCTGCACCCCCAGGTGTCATTTCGTGCCTTTACCCCCCATTTCTGCACCCCCAGGTGTCCCTGGGTGCCTTTACACCCCATTTCTGCACCTCTAGATGTCCCTGGGTGCCTTTACCCCCCATTTCTGCACCCCCAGGTGTCCCTGGGTGCCTTTACACCCCAATTCTGCACCCCCAGGTGTCATTTCGTGCCTTTCCCCCCCATTTCTGCCCCCCCAGGTGTGCCTGGGTGCATTTACAGCGCACTCCCTCACCCCAGGTGTGTGAGCTGCAGGGTGTGCGGGTTCACATCGGGTTCACGTTCCCAGGGCTATCTGGGGAATGTGGATAAGATAAAAACGTCCCGGGCGTCGCTGGTGACGTTGGCACCTGGGGCAGGGCCAGGTGTGCCCGTGGCTGCGTGTGGGGTGTGGCAGGGGGGGTTTGGGGGTGCCCCTCTCTCAGGGGTGCTGTGAGCTGGCACCCCAGGAATGTGTGTGGAGCTGGGAGTCCTGGTGAGTCCAGTCCTGGTGGGTCCATCCGTGTGTCTCCAGCTCCTCAGGTGGGCTCAGCTGCTCCCTGGAGTAGGGGTTGTGTGTACCCTGCTGTGCCTGGAGGGAAATGCACATTTTCCTTGGTTTTTGGCATCATTCCTGTTGGAAATCCCAGTGGAGGAGTTGTCCCCTGTGAATCTTTATGGGGGTGTAGGGAAAGAAGTGTCCCTGTCCTAAGGGAGCCTCTCACCTCATGAAACTTGGGGTTTCACCTCCCCTTCTATGGACTTCCAGCCTCTTTTGGGGCTGCTCTAAAATTTCCTCTCCCTTTGGAGGGCCCAGGGTGAGGGGGATTGTCCCCATAACTGCGATTTCCTCCTGGGTGGCTTCCGTGAAATTCCAGTTCCTCCTTGGAGGGAGCACATCCCACAGGGCAAGGTCTGGATCTTGGTTCCTTCCTCCCCCCAAAATCCCTTCTTTGGGGTTAGGAGGGCGTTCAGCTGCTCGGCAAAGGACATTTTCCCTCTGGGATCTGACTCCCAGCCCAGTGTTTGGAGTTTGAGATCCTAATCCCATCTCTATTTTTAGAGACCCTCAGGGCACCCATAATTCTCCTTAAACTCTTCATCCCCCCCCCCCCTCCATTCTTTCCTGGGTTAAACCACAAAAAGAGATTTTATTTCAGAGGGTGGCTGGGAACCTGAAGCAGCTTCAAACCTGCATCACTCCCAATCCCAGGAGCAGAGCCACAGATGCAGGAGGAACCTGGAATTCCCAGCTGGCTCTGCTTGGGATGTGCTGCTGGAGAGGACCTGGGAGCACAAACTGTTCAAGACAATCAGGTCTTCATTGAATGGTTGTGAGGTGACAACTCTGTGAAGAATGGTGGAATCACAGGATGGGTTGGGTTGGAAGGGACCTTAAAGCCCATCCAGACCCCTGCAACAAGAAAACAAGAAGAAATGTTAATTTAATCCGATTCAGATTGATTTAATGGTTGTGAAGTGACAGCTCTGTGCCACTTTCTTCAGCTGGGAGAAGAATCACAGAGTGGGTTGCAAGGGACCTTAAATCCCACCCAGTTCAGACCCCTACCACAAGAAAAAATTCAATTTAATCAGATTCAGGTCTTGATTTAATGATTGTGAAGTAACAACTCTGTGCCCCTTTTTTCAGCTGAGAGAAGAATCACAGAGTGGGACGGGGTAGGTTGGGTTGGATTTGAAGGGACCTTAAAGCCCATCCAGTTCTGACCCTGCTACAAGAAAAGCTTAAATTTAATCAGATTCAGGTCTTGATTTAATGCTCGTGAAGTGACAGCTCTGTGAATGGTGGAATCATGGGATGGGTTGGTTTTGAAGGGACCTTAAAGCCCATCCAGTTCTGACCCTCAGCCACAAGAAAAACTTAAATTTAATCAGATTCAGGTCTTGATGTAATGGTTGTGAGGTGACAACTCTGTGAAGAATGGTGGAATCACAGGATGGGTTGGGTTGGGAGGGGCCTTAAAGCCCATCCAGACCCCTGCAACAAGAAAACTTAAATTTTATCAGATTAAGGTGTTGATTTAATGGTTGTGAAGTGACAGCTCTGTGCCACTTTCTTCAGCTGGGAGAAGAACCACAGAGTGGGTTGCAAAGGGCCTTAAAGCCCATCCAGTTCTGACCCCTGCTACAAGAAAAACTTAAATTTAACCAGATTCAGGTCTTGATTTAATGATTGTGAAGTGACCACTCCATGCCTCTTTCTTCAGCTGAGAGAGGAATCATGGGGTGTGATGGGCTGGGTTGGTTTTGAAGGGACCTTAAAGCCCATCCAGTTCTGACCCCTACCACAAGAAAAACTTGGATTTAAACAGATTAATTTCTTAATTTAATGCTCATGAGGTGCTCGGGGCTCTGGGGGTTCCTGCCCCCGCACTGGGAAGGTCCCAGACACCTGGGAGCACAAACTGCTCCTTCTCCTCCTTTTCTCAGCCACTTCAGCCGGTGCCAGCCTCTCAGACCAGGCTCTCCATTCATCCAGGTCCTCTCCTCCTCAGGAGAAATAAATAATATTCAATATCCTAGTGTTACTAGAATAAAACCAGATTTGGGAGCCATCAAATTGTCCCCAGGCCCGTGGCTGTAAAATTGGGCACGTGGAACTGAAGCATCTGCTGAAAGGAGGTTTGGAACAAAAATAAGATAAATTTTTTGTTTAGAACAAAAATAAGATAATTTTTTTTACTCAGATCCAGCAGAACTTTGCTGATATAGAGGTAAAAGTCTAATTAAAATAGATGAAATTGAGGTAAAAGTCTACTTAAAATAGATGAAATTTGTAGTGGAACTCTGATTCTTAAGAGTGATAGAAACAAAATCTCAGTATTTTTTTCTTGGCTGGTTTATAGAAATATATTTTTCTTGGTTTTTTATTCCCTTCCCTTGGAATCCTAACACCCATCCTTGAGATGCCACTCCACAAAATTGTGGTTTTGCAATTCTGAGACAAAAAGAGTTCCCAGAAAATTTCAGTGGCTTTCTTCCTCTTTTCACTCTCATTTTAAATCTTCTTTTCTGTCAGTCCAGCGTTTTATTGATCTGTCTGCCTTTAGATGTTCTGATTTGTATTTTACCTCAATAGGGTGTAAACAGGAAGGAATAGATGGAATAGATTATATCGTTATATATATTTTAGATTATATTGTTATATACATTTATATGCAGACATTATAGATGGTGCTGGGCTTTTCTCTGCCAGCTTTAGAGATCAAATCTTGGGGAACATCCCTGGAATTGTTGTTCCCTTTGGGTTCTTGCTGGAAATGCTGGAATTCCTCATTCCTGAGGGGAAATTTTGCAGGTGAATGCCCATCCAGTTCTGACTCCTGCCACAAGAAAAACTTGAATTTAAGCAGATTCAGTCCTTGATTTAATGGTTGTGAGGTGACATCTCCATGTCCCTTTCTTCAGCTGGGAGAAGAATGGTGCAATCACAGGTTGAATTAAGTTTGAAGGGACCTTAAAGCCCATCCAGTTCTGACCCTCAGCCACAAGAAAAACTAAATTTACTCAGATTCAGGTCCTGTTTGAATGGTTGTGAGGTGCTTGGGGCTCTGGGAGTTCCTGCACCCCGCACTGGGAAGGGTGGGATGGAGGTTCCAGACCCTCTCCGTGCTCTCCTCCCGTGGCTCCAGGCTGAGGGTGCAATTCCTCACTTTAGGCCGGGTGAATTTCCTGTGGGATGAATCTTTCCCAAATGTGGGGTCCAGGAGGAGCTGGGAATGGAGAGGGAGCTGGGAGAGCCCCTCAGGATCCGCTGGGTGCTGCCTGGCTGTGCTGTGGGGTGCATTTGGGGTCACTTCAGCCCCACTCCCGCTGCCAGGTGAGCCCAGGGGCTGGGCAACAGCTCCAGATGTTCCCAGCTGTGAGTCGGCCCTGAGTCACCTGCACTGGCTCCA